TGAGAGAATGTGAAAGGGGAGGGAAAAATGACGTCGGAAATGGGATAAATATGGAGTGCAGAAAGACGGGAAAGGAAATAACGGAAGAAGAGAAGCAGATATGGAAGCAAACAGCAGCAAAGTTAAAATTAGAGTTAAGACGTCCTAAAGAGGAGGAAAGACGCCTAAAGAGGAGAAAGGAAGGGAGCATGCGCTGATGTCATGCCACGCACGGTGCATGGACGACGGAGGAAGGATGCTCGGCGGAAGGGAAGAGCGGGATATAAATATAGAATAGAGTGCGGGATGGATATAATAGGAAATAGAATCGCGGAGTAAAGATGAGGGTGGGCGGGGAATAGATAAATAGAATCACGGGGAATAAGAAGAGAAGAGAATGAACGGACGAGATATAAATAGAACAAAGAAAGGAAGGAAGAAGACAGCCGGCGAGATACCGAATCCGGGTCGTACGTACCTCATGCGCCGGGATATTATCTGCGTCCGCAACGATAGCTTCCAGGTTCTTCAGAATCTCACGTTCGGTCATTACAGGTCTGTTTGCGGAGTCTAGGGCGTCGAAGTAATCTGTATCACAGCAAATAATAGCGCATTAATAACTTATCGTCTAGAGAATGAGGAAACACTCACAAAACTGACCCTTCCTCAACACCGCAACGTGTCTCGCCGCATAATCCACCTCCATCCTGCACCCCTTCGCCGTCGGGACGCGTGCAGTACCGAACAATCTCTTATACTGGTCCATATCGAGCGGGACCCCGCGCACGGTGTCGGGCTCTAAGAGCTCGGCGCGCAGGTCGTGGATGAACGCGAGGGACGCGAAGATGAGCGAGGCCGCGCGCGGGAGCTGTGAGCCGCGCGAGGGGGCGGGGTCGTCTCTGGGATTGGGCCGTTAGGATGGCGTTTTAGTGGTATTAGGGAGTTTGGACGACGTACTCGAGGATGAAGAAGGGGTTTAAGGCGAGGACGACGGGGTCGGAGTGGGAGAGGTAGGATTCGTACCTGATAACGACGTTAAGCCATCGTTCGTAGTAATGGGATAGGATAGCTACTCACCAGAACTCTTCGATATAGCTTCACGTCGCCAATAAAAGACCATCAGCACCTAATCTCCACCCAACTCCAATACAACGCACCTATCCTTATCCTTCGCATACTCCAGCAACATCTTCTGCGCCCTCTCGCCCTCCCCGCTCTCCAAAAACTCGTTTACAGCGCTCTTCGTCGCTGCATGCTCCTCTTCATCCTGCAGCGCCTCCAGCGCACGTAGATACCTAGCACACGTCTCCTCCAGCGGTGGAATCGGCAGCTTAGGCATACTACTCTGCCCCGCGAACGTCTTTCCTTGCGTAGCTATCGTGGGCGATGTGGATGTCGGTGCCATCGTCGCCGTGGGTAGTGCTGATTAGGAGAAAGCGATAGGGGAGAGTGTGTCATATATGAGGAACACAGCAGGCGTCATCATAATCAGCCCTATTCGGAGGATAGCCTGGATTGGCTAAAAGCAAAGTCATGGGCTGCAGGATGGTGCGCCCGGCTATCAGGCGCGATGCTCCGATCACATCTAGCGCCAAGCCGCCGAATGAGAAATGCAACGAAATTAAGACGTGAGTTTGAGGTCTTATCTGCTCTTCACATTGACCAGGGTGCTCTCACCGCCTCAGTGGTTATATATAGGTTGGAAAGAACACCGCGATTCGACGAGGTACCGGATCTATCGATGTGTAATAAGGCTTCCGAATCCGTACATGCATTCGCAGCTTCCAGAAGCGAAGCCAGCACATTCACCGGTCACAGCCAGATTCGGAACGTAAGAGGACACATGGCCGACGTGAAAAAATATTGGGAAAGTTGAAGAAAGTAAGATGAGACAAGACAATGAAATGTCTTGTTGATCGGTGATCGTGCCCCCGCCTCCGGATGCCACAATACCCCATGGGCGGGGTGAGATCTCGATTTATTATGCGGAGTTCGTCTTATTTCGACCTTGTCTATTTCACACTAATACTAATTTCGACCTCCATTTCAGAGCGGGATTCACAGCAAGTCAGCGAGCTAAGTTATTATTGAACATATTGAAGCGTCTTCTGAATAACCTGGCTTGACTCGCCGACATGTGCAGCAACCACACGTATTTCAACGTTCAAATGGGTCAAAGGCATAGTGCAGCCAATGTCATATATGGACATCACTATCGACGTGGATAGCGGCCACACGTCTCGGCGAATTATCCTGGCACCCAACGTCGCACGGACGCAGGGCGCGTACGGGCGACATCAGAAATCAAAATGGATGTAGTAATTAATGCTCGTCGAATGCCAATACCAATTCTGCACGTACGTGTGTATATAGTCCGGTGCAGGGCAGATCATTCCTGCTTTTTCTATGGAGTTGGTTGTGTTGTGCTATATCATGACGCGATTCCGCTCATACTATATACATAATGCGTAAAGGGGAAGAAAGGAAACGAGGGAAGGATGCAGGGTCGGTCGGTCGGTGGGAAATATAAACAAAGCGATATCTAGATCTTAGCGAGGGATCGATTACTGATTGATCGTGGGGTGGTTGATCGGTGCCAGTCAGTCAAACGAATCTCGTCTCGTGGCCGGGCGGGGTCGGGTGTTGTCGGCTTGAACTTGGTGGGTGTCGAAGCTGGGGTGAGTTTTGTATATAATCCGTGAAGATAAGTAGACTCCTACTTTAACGTCGACAATGTAAGGAAGTAAGTAAAGTAAGTAATTACGTATTGATAACAACCAGGACTTACCCTTACTTTATAACATCGCCTCCTCAGGCTAATTTGTGTAAACCCAATCCAGTGCTCAATTTAATTTCTGCATCCTCGATGTCCGGTGTTATCGCCTCCGAATTGGCTCTCACTATCAGTCCTTATCATCCTGCGAATTCGCGCGCCATACGCATGCGGTGCGGTTGCATCACGATCATAATTTTTGTTATATTGAGTCCTGGCAGAGACGGAGACGGGTGTCCGCAGAGGGTGGGCACTGATTTAGATTTTTAGTGAGAGTTGATGAGTGCCCAATTCGTACGATAACATTCCTATTTCGTTCATCGTAATATCTTTAATTGATCTGGGAGCTTATCGTCGCCTGAATAATACGGTATCGTCGTATCTTTCCTCCGACTCCAAGATCATTTGACTATTCCTTATAAGCTTGATACATTGACAAGAGTCTTTAAGCTTTATAACACCGCTCTCTAGCCATCTCATTGAACCACATTATTTAACCAGGATTTCTACTACCCACTGATGACACCGCTCCTAAATTTAAATCTAATTCAATGCCCGGTCACTTCTGCACCAGGTACTTATAACGCTCGAAATAGATAGCCATGGAGTAGACCGTATCAAGATAGTCATTTCTGATAATCAGCAAAAATTATAAGACCAGCTTCGATGGTCGACGTCGATCTCCACGGTGCGAGCGCCCGTTGAACATTGTGCGCGGTACGGCGCACAGCAGAGGAATGTATATGGCGGCTATCTGGTAATCGTCACCGGCCTAATGGTCTAGTAGCATGATTCTTCCTTTGGGATGTGGCGTTAGCTACGAAATTGGAAGAGGTCCTGGGTTCAATTCCCAGTTGGGCCCATTTTTTTTCCACTTCAGCGTGGGTGCTGTCATGTCACGTGGTCCAGACTCTATTTAATTTTTTTTTAATTTTACATACACCTTTCAATTACAAGTAGATAATTAGTAAAACCCACGGTAACATAACTGATCAGCTCAGAAAACGAATAAAGGAAAATTCAGAATCGACAGCCAGTGTCTTGGTAACGCAATCACTTCAAGCGCAATCTGGACCGCTTCTAATCAGGCTCGACGAATGGTCTCCCGAACTTAAACTGGCTCGTCACTTCAAGGACAGATACCAAAAGCATATTAAGGACTTTCTATTCGCTTTAAAAGCAATGCGCAATCTTCGATGGTTCTATTGGCTTCCGCATGCCAGGAATGCGAATATGTACTTCGCGGGTTTAGGTTGCGGGATTCTGTCCCAGCATTCGCGAAGTGCAAGGCTATGCCGAAGAACCGTGTCACTCCTCAACCGGGACATGCCACGCAAGGGTGGAATGTGCTTATCAAATCCGGGAACCTCACGATTCATTGAATATTTCGATGCTAATTAGTATTGTCTTCAACAGGTTTTCCCGCTTAAAATTTTAACCATGAGAATGGAGGATAGAGCTCTTTCTTCATGACACTTAATTTGGATAATCCAGGCCTCCAAAGTCTTCATTTGGAGCGGCTTCCTCTGATTTTCAACGCTCCTATACAGGGGGCTCCTGATATGTCATTTGTCATATCTGACAACCATTGGTCTCAACTCGTCCGCTTCTCTGTCAAAGGTCATATAGACATATTTCCTTCGAATTTAGATATCGATTAAAGAGGAAGGATTCTCAGCGAGTTTATTGTACGGCATCCAAAGCTGAAATATCTCGGATTACGGGTGGTGTTCGTCCACCTGCGGAGGTTAAATTCGGACAACCAGAGATAATCCCTGGTTTACCCCGCTTGGCATCCTTTGACGTCGCGGATGATTTCTGACTACAAGGAATTCCTATTAGTATGATGTTTGAGACTTTGGAATACCTGACTCTACCTAGTAACAAGCACCAGATCGCTGCTCACAGTACCTGGATCACTGCTGGCGATCTCAACCCAAAGAAAATTATGACACTTGCTGCGATGACATCTTTGAAGACATTGAGAATTCCGCGGCAATCCCGTCCAAGTTTGAATAGTCTGACTGCAGAACTCTCGCTTCTACAGCGGTTATATTTCCATCGCACTGGCCATCCTGTACGTTGTTCTTTATACCAATTTCGCTTATGCATTCTAAACGTCTTCCAGGAATCAATACCTTTGCACCTTGCCGGAGCAAGATTGAAAGCCTTGTCAAGCCTTCAAAATTTGACCCATTTGGGGGTTTCTTTATCCCAGTCAACCTAAAACGCCACCAGACCTTCGATAAAGTGCTTCAAACGGTAGCCAATTCGACAAAACTCCAATTCATGAAAATCTTCGATAAAGGGAGTAGACTTCTTCGATGGATTGAGATCGAGCAGAATGAAGAACGGTGTTATTCCGGATGGCATTGTGTTAAGAACAAGATCGATCTCCATTGCGAAGCTTGGGGGGATATGATGCCTGGTATGGGCATAACCTTATCACACTGAAAATGCGTTGTATCTGTTCGAGAAATCTAGGTTCCCAGCAGAAGTTTATCGCGACAGTCATAGACTACATATGTTGGCGCGTTCGAGAAAATTACTTCAGGCAGTAGGAATATAATCTCTGTAATTTTTTAAAGTTATATTTATTCAACGTACTGAGTGCTTACAATGAGCCTGCTTCTTCGAAATTCGCAACATGATTTGTTGTTTGATGAAGGAATCTTGACTATGATACATCTATTCGACACTTATTTGATTCTCGCCAATTAATGAGATCATTCAATATAATTTCTTCCACTATTAAATATTTTAGGATTAGGATATATCTGTAAACCATAAATCTGTCAACGATCATTCGGAACATGCAGAGCAGCTAGCGCGTACTCTTGCAAATACCTTCCCCCTGACCATCCCTATCGGTATCGGTCCAAACTCACTCGAATCTCTCGAATTCGACATATTATCCCCAGTAACCCATATATGTGCTTTAGGAACGACCACATGGTCGACGTTTACTCCATCTTCTCCGCCATACATAGCCTTATCAGGCTGCACACATATCACGTCCCCAGCTAAGCCAATGACACGTTTACAGACGTCTTTGGTGGGATCATATATCGAACGGTAGATTATGATGTCTCCGCGTGCTATTCGAGAGAGATGTACCGACAGGGTGTCTTCGAAGATTAGTGTTGGGGCATCGGAGAACGTGGGGATCATAGAGGGCCCAGAGAGCTATTTGACATGAATAACTGTTATATTAGCTTATAACGATGTGTTATGAATCATAGACGTACATATCTAGGCCCTCCTATGTACTCAAACAAAAGATACGTTGTGGCCCATGCCTGGTTAAGTAGCGGTTGTCAGTATGCGACAGTTGCGAATGTGAATGATAATAACGTGCCTTAGCAATGTCAGCTACAGTCGTACGGGGTTGGGTTGGCTGCAGAAGCCACTGGCGTCCGCGCTTGAAGGCTTGCTTGCATCCGTCTCTCAATCCAAGCCAGACGGTCATGGAGACAAAGGTGTCCACAGACATCCATAGGAAACACGTGACATAGGGTAACCAATCAGCGGATTATGTTTTCTTTCTAATTCACTCTTCTACGAAAGCGACATTCGTCAAGTAAGCTTTTAATCGTGTTTCGGGAATCGAATTTTCCAACTGATGTGAAAGCTGGGAACAGAGCCATTCAGGATGAATAGGCAAGAAAATAATGTTTGAATAAATTGAAAGTGACATAGCATTATTAACAAAGGGGAAAAAAAAAAAGCGCCAGAGAAATTTGAAATAGTCAGTACACCATCATCCAACAATCAGATCTCCTGTACATAAAAATTGGGGTCGATTAAGTATCATTCATGATGCCTTCTTTTTGCTACGTTTTCCTCTGGTCCTGATTCCCGTCTCTTCCGCCGTCTACTAGTGCTATTTTCCGCAAAGTTCGGAAGCTCTTCCCGAGAGACGTCTTCAGCTGTAACTTGTGATCCAGATGGCAGTGTGACTTGTTGAAGAGCGCGCACGTCATGTACTGATTCTCGTGAATGGCCTTGAATGGGATTATATCCATAATGTGTATATGTAGGAGACATTGTTTGAGCAGGGAGCTCTGACATGCCTAGCATGATACGATGCACAATTCGCTGTCTTTGCATCATGCAGAGATGGTGATGGGCACATAACCTAGGTGCGAGAAATTCGGTGTGAGTGCATAGGGACCATACCCTTCCATCAGGCAAGCGGATTGTTTGGGGAGGTGTTGAATGTCGAGCGGGGGATGTCGGCATATAAAGGGTGCGAGGTAGATATGGGTCAGCAACCTTTTCGCCCGATTGAGATTGCGTAGCGTAAATAATTAACTCCCTCAATGACTCTTCTTCTACGCTGTCTGGTCGACCGTAAAGGTGATCGAGGAGCGTTCTGGTTCCGCCGCGAGCATGGATAGGGACGGGTGCTTGCAATGGTGTCTGGTAAGAGTGCATATATTGGTAATGCATGTTCGGATTTATATTCCTAGGTGGGGGATATTGGACGGCATGTTGTCTTGGCGATGGATGAGGCGGTGGTGGAAAAGGATGAGGACGGCAAGAAACAGTTTGGGGTAAATGTCCTTGAGTACTGTTAGAGACATAATAACAGGACCATATATTTTCTACCTGTCGAATTTTCCTCTGGATTTCTAAAGGAAACGGAAGTAGTTGTCGGAACGACGTTGTTGCGGTCGGATCCTTATTAGGAGAAAAATAAATCGTAAGAATTAAATAAAGAGATATAATTGAGGTGTTGCATACCAGAAACGTTGTCTGCCTGTGGTCTAGCGAATGTTGGTGGAGACATATTTCTTCCAGAATCAGGACCCCGCGCATGCGTCAAAGTGTTTGGTCGCCGGAAAATTTGAGTTGGTGCAGAGGCCAGCTCTGCTGTGTCGATAGTTACAGTTACAGTCGATAAGCTTGAAGTGGAGGCGGCTACTGAAACAGCCGAAAAAGTATTACCAGACCCACGAACTTCTGTTGTAGCTCTTGGAATTGTCGGACGTGGAGGATGACCGCTATTTGAAACATTATTAGAGCTCATGTTGCTTTCCCTAATACGATATTGAGTTGAGGATAGGAACTTTATGAAGGTTAAGGTAGGAAGTAATGAAGAGAAGACAAGAGAAACACCTGGTTTAAATATTTCTTTCCCTTTGATTCATTTTTCTGTCCTTTGTTTGACGCATTGGCATCCTTTGTCGTGTCACGGCATGTCCCGTCTGCATATACGAAAATTGTTTGTAATTTCGTACAAGTACTGCATGAATGATTAGCTCATATGAAGGGTATTTCTTCAGCTAAAGAAAATAGACTGGGTTTAGAAGTGGGCTATTTACGTATCAGAGGATTAGAGCAAGCACAGACTCACTTACTTGCGTTCCATACAATACTAGTCACAAACTCTTCTATTAATCCACGGAGCATCTTCGTCTATATCATTGGAGGATTTCCTGCGGTGTTCTCTTGATATCCTGGAACGAAAGTCGGCCTGAGTGAGACTCGAGACAACGAGAATGCGACCGCCGGCTTAGTCCTTGGATTTGCTCTAGGACGCATCACAATATAAGGTGTTTCTAGAGTGGAGGAAATTAAAGATTGGAATACAGTTCGAATATAGCGAACAGAGTCAAATCTTACGACGCGGCCTGGACCAACTACGTTAGGGCGATCACGTGACGTCTCTTCGGCTTCAGGGCCACTGCAGGTTTGGTTCCGAGTTCCCACGTCACCTAGTCTTCATTTCTCCGTCGAATCTTATACTGTCATACAACCTTCTAATTTCTACCGTCTTTTCCTTTCTCAATAAGATGCCCATCAAATGACAGGGCCAATATTAGAGATTTAGGACGACTTTTGAATATTAAGAAGAAA